AATAAATCCGTACTGGAGGAAAACTGTGACTCTTGTGATTGTGAAGATAGACAAACATTGCACTAACCAGATAGCACAATTAATGTTCATGGAGCATATAAGACCTGCTCCTGGTACTCTGGATGTGTAATACCACAAGGATAGGTGTCATCAGCATACAGGCCACTAGGTGTCACCCATCCAGGTATACTCTCCAGTCTCCGAATATGCCAGTCACAGCCGCCAGGGGAAGGGTCTTGCACCAATCCAAGCCACAGATAAACCTTCAAAAAACAGGCTCCCAAAGGAATGAAGAGCCCAGAGAAAGCCTCCAATGCTGTAGTAGGTCTTTATTTCCAAAAAATGTCAGCATAAGCAGGTTGAAAAAAGAAACTTACATCTGATTCCAATATGGCCACCGGCCGTCTATCAAGGTGGCCCTGCGGTATATGCACAGTAGTTAGGGGCACCTCCTAACGCGTTTCGTGTCCCTACACTTCCTCAGAGGGAGATGGTCAGTTCGCCTCTGCATGTGACTGCTACTTGTACTAAGGTAATATTTGGGCTGTAATATTTATATCTCTTGTGGCTATTGAAGAATATATTTAAAGGAAAGTTATTGTGCATGGAGTCCATCTTTAAAGGTACATTCCTGCTACAGAAAAGTTATTATAGTGAGTTGAACAATCACTATTTACTTTGTGTTTTTTTAATTGGATTGCATTATGTTTGCATGGGAATCACATTGCAAACCCTTTGGCATTAACATGTATTTCAAATGCTTTGACCAGCTCATTAAAACGGCTTTGTCAGGTGAAGTCCTAGCAGTGTCTTGGGAATATTAGAACAGGTTGTGGAAAATCAGGTTAGATATTTCATGATTTCCTCAGCAAACTCTACGTACTGTTTGTTGGAAATGTGACCATTAATATTGGAGTATGACAGTGTTTTTTTTCACTAATTGTTGTGGTGTATTATTACAAGGGATATCATAAGAAGAAGAGATTTGATAGGCAGAACTATTATTTAAATCACCAGTTCCTAATAAATGTCACATTTTTCTCTGCAACACTATTTTTCTCTCTTTCGCGTGTTTATTGGTTCACAAGACAGGGCACCTAAGTAACACTGAGTATGACACATGTAGCTGAGCATGCTAGCTAATTGGGCCTCTACAAGTCTCTAGAGTTTCCTTTATTTTCTGTATTTCCTATAAGCATTTTGTGTGTTTTTTTTAACCTGTACTGCCAACTGCTACAGCATGGGCAGTAATACCTAGACTATGGCTTGGTCTGCAGGGAAATAGATATATTTCCTTCTTCTTAGATGTAACTATTTCTTTTACATCCGTAAACACTATAGTCTCCAGTTCTCCTTTTTTCCTTCCTCTAATGGACTGCTGGTTTTGACAGTTCTTCCTTGTTTGCCAGAGCTGTGTCAGCTTCCGGAGCACCGAGACTCAATCTGCAGTCTGTTGCAGGCTCCGAGGGATATGCAGATGAGGACTTGAATGGCTTGTCACCAGCACAGACTAAAGAAGAGAACAGGATGTGTTTGGAAGTTCAGTCTGCTCATAATCATGCATACAAAGTACCTGTAAAGTGTGCCATCCAATTCCCTTAAAGTTCTAATATGTACGTCTAAAGGAATTGTCCATGGCTTTCTATAATGAAAAAGTTTACGAAGGCTGAAGCTGCTAGCTTAGGCAATCTGATTCTGCTAGGCTGGTTTATATTTGCTGTTGACCCCGTTTTTTTTTTAAAGCCTAACTCCACATTTAATGTCCCTTTAAATCCAAAGCTGGTATAGAGGCACTCAAGGGTCTTGCAAAGGAGGTAGATAAAAAGCAGATATTCAATGAAGCTCAGCCCGTCTTTCGCAAGACACTACAACATGGCTATAAAAACACTGCTATTTTTGATCTTCCTCCTCGGCAAGACCCGTGAGTACCTCTGTAGCAATCGTGCACACAGTGATGGAAGCGGTCATCCATTTTGCTCCAAACCCCTCCATCTTGTATCTCTCTCTCCCAAATCAGCTTTCCTCACCCCCCCTCCCTCTCTGTTGAGTGACATGTGGTCTATTTGAGGCAGAGATCACAGGCAGCAAACTCATTGGGAGGGCGTCATGGAGCGCTGTGCTTTGTGAATGGCCCGGAGCCTTCTGGGACCTGGCATGTGTCCCAGAAGACGCCGGACCATTCACAAAGTGCAGCGTTTCTCGCGCATGTGCACTGGGCACCCGGCTGTAACAGAAGCCGCCGCGGGAAGACTGCAGCACTGGAGCGAGGAACAGGTAAGGTCCTGCAGGAGAGCTGAGCAGCCGGCCCGATATTCTGACATGGTGGAGGCACAAATACCGGACCGGCCTCTTTACATTCACTCCATAAGATGCACTGACATTGTCCCCCCCTTTTTTTGGGGGAAAAAAGTGCATCTTATGGAGTGAAAAATACGGTATATAGCGCTAAAAGGTTTGCTCAGCGCTGTACATTATAGTGGGGGACAGAACATGAGACAATACAGTAACAATACAATACACGAGGGATTCGAGGGCCCTGCTCTTTCGAGCTTACAATCTAGGAGGGAGGGAATAGTGGTACAGGAGGAAGTGGCTGTGGGGGATGGAGTGGTAGGAGGAGATCGGCTGTTAGGTGAGGGCGGGGTAGGCTTCCCTGAAGAGATGGGTTTTCAGGGTGCACCTAAAGGTGAGGAGGGTAGGTGACAGTCTGATGGATTAAGGTAGTGAGTTCCAGAGGATGGGGGAAGTCCTGGAGAAGTCCTGCAGTTGGGCGTGGGAGGTGGAGACCAGGGAGCTAGAAAGTAGGAGGTCTTGTGAGGAGCAAAGAGTACGGGTTGGGTGGTATTTGGGTATCAGGTCGGTGAGGTAGTTTGGGGCAGCGTTATGAATGGCTTTGTATGTCTGTGTTAGTAGTTTGAATTGAATGAGTTGGGCAATCGGGAGCCAGTGGAGGGAATGACAGAGGGGGGTGGCAGAAGTGGATCGGTTGGTGAAGTGGATGAGTCAGGCTGCTGAGTTCAGGATAGACTGAAGCAGGGATAGTCTGTGATGAGGTAGGCCGGTGAGAAGGGAGTTGCAGTAGTCCAGACGTGAGATAATGAGGGAGTGAATGAGTTGTTTAGTAGTGTCTGGGGTTAGGAACGAATGTATTTTGGAGATGTTGCGGAGGTGGAGCCTGCATGAGTTTGCCAGTGATTGGACATGAGCTTGGAAGGACAGGTTTGAGTCTAGAGTGACACCTAGGACTTTGGTTGTGGGGTGGGACTGATGGTGGCATTGTTGGTCATGATGGAGAGGGTGGGGGGGGGGGCGCGGCTGGGGGGGAAAATCAGGAGCTCGGTTTTGGAAAGGTTCAATTTGAGGAAATGGAGCGACATCCAGTCTGATATGTCGTTCAGTAGGTGGGTGATACGGGCGGAGACTGTAGGGGTGAGGTGAGGGTTAGAGAGGTAAATTTGCAAGTCATGTGCATAGAGGTGATAGTTGAAGCCGTTATTATTATACAGGATTTTTATAGCACCAACAGTTTGCTCAGCGCTTTACAATATAATATATATATACACATGCACAAATGTTTTGCATTTCATTTCTGTTCTAAACGGAATGGGTTGTTTTACATGGTGAGGGCGTCCATATGCTTTAAAAACAGCAAAGCAGCTATAGATGACTTTCTAAAGAAATACAAATGTTTAATGGAGAAAAAAACCATAATTTATCTGTAATATTCAAACTTGCTTTTTTAATTTACAGTCATTATCACATTTTAGTTTCTGCATCTCCTCTCTGAAGAAATACAAAAGGGAACTAAACAGCAGATGTCATAATCACTGACACTTTGCTGAAGGCAGCACACATCTTAGCCTATTCATCCACTTTTTTTTTTTTGCATTGATCAATGATTGATTTTATATTCAGTACAAATTATAATTAGATTTAAAGCAAGACAACTACAATCAAGTCTATCTTGACTATATTTTTATGATCTTTATAGTATTTCAAGCACCCTGCCATGCAATTTTGTGGGGGTTGAGAAAAAGGGACTTTAAATGTGGCCATATTTGCACATTTGTTCAAGCAAGTGGATCCTGAAGAAGCAAGCTGTTTGCGGAACGCGTCAAACCACCGTGTTATATATATGATCTGTGTGCTACAGTAGATATGGAAACATTACTGCTGATGATTTTAATCAAATTTTATTATGACAATAAAGCTGTATATTTTTATGTATATACTTGTGTTGTGGCACAAATCCCTATTTCCCAACCCCCACCAAGTTATATGGCAGGGTAGTTGGAACACTATAGAGTTTAATCGCTGTATTTGGGGATGGTGACATTAGTGATATTGATAGGGTGGTTACACCTAGGGGATAATAAATAATATTTTTTTTATGATATCCAATAAATATCTTCATAGAAACACAGTGGTCCAAAAGGTGAATATTATATAGCTGTATATTACTTACATCTTATTATAGGCATCTAGGAAATAAAGTGGAACCAAACATACACAACACAAAAAAAAAAAAATATATATATATATATATATGTACCTCGGTTTACGAACGCCCCGGTCATTGTCATTTTTGGTTTACGAATGCAAATCCATTGAAAATAATGCCTCGGTTTACGGAATTTTTCCGCAATACGAACGGATTTATTGGTTTTCAATGCATTTACAATTTTTTTAGTCATGTCCCTGTACAGTATTTATGCCTTTAACCACTTGCCTACTGGGCACTTATACCCCCTTCCTGGCCAGGCCAATTTTTAGCTTTCAGCGCTGGCGCACTTTGAATGACAATTGCGCGGTCATGCAACACTGTACCCATATGAAACGTTTATAATTTTTTTGAGACAGATAGAGCTTTATTTTGGTGGTAATTAATCACATCTGGGCTTTTTAGTTTTTGCTAAACAAACCAAAAACAACTGAAAATTTTGAAAAAAAAAAGTTTTTTCTTAGTTTTTGTTATAAAATTTTGTAAATAAGTGATTTTTCACTTGAGGCTGCAGTGATGGGCACTGATGAGGAGGCACTGGTTCGTGGCACTGATGGACATTAACAGGCATCACTGATGGGCACTGAAAGGCAGCACTGATACATGGCACTGATAGGTGGCACTGACTGGCGGCACTGATAGGCGGCACTGACTGGCACTGATAGGCGACACTGACTGGTACTGATAGGTAGCACTGATGCTCACTGACAGGCAGCAATGACTGGCTCTGAAGGCGGCACTGACTGGCACTGATAGGTGGCACTGGTTGGCAGCACTGATAGGTGGCACTGATGGGCATTGATAGGTGGCACTGACTGGCACTGATAGGTGACACTTAAAGGCAGCTCAGATGGACACTGATATGTGGCATTGATGAGGCACTGATGAGCACTGACAGCTGGCATTGATAGACACTGACAGGTGGCACTGCTGGGGCTACACTGATCATCAGGGCACATGTCCCCTCTGAGTAATGCCCTCCTCCTGTCAGTGTGACAGCTCAAGAGGAGAGAAATGCTGATAACCGGCATTTCCCTATTTATATGCAATCAGCTGTAGTTGGACACAGCTGATCACATGACCGAGCCAACATCTTCGGCTCTTTCCATTGATCAGTGATCCCCTGGGTCCGAGGGACACAGCGCACCACCGATCGCCGTGCTGCGCACTCCCGGAGCCACGCACATGCGGTTAAAGTGGGAGGACATCCTCCCAGAACGAGAGAAACGCCTTGCGCCCGTCATTTTATTTTTTTTTTTCTTAAAGTGCACTTTATAAAGAGATTTGAACAGATAAGACTTTTTTTTTTTTTACTTTTTTCTGACCTCCAGAACGGATTAATTGGTTTTCAATGCATTTACAATTAATTTTTAATCATGTCCCTGTACAGTATTTATCCCTTTAAAGTGCACTTTATAAAGAGTTTTGAACAGATAAAAGACTTTTTTTTTTACTTTTTTCTGACCTCCGGAGCGGATTAATTGGTTTTCAATGCATTCCTATGGGAAACAGTGTTTCTGTTTATGAATTTTTCACAATACGAAAGTTCGCAAACCGAGGTATGCCTGTATAGGGTTCTTCTTATAAAGGATTCTCTGGATGGACGTCACAAGCATTCACCCAGCTCTGACAAATTTTCCCCCTATTTTGTCTGATATGATTATTTTCTAAGACCCCCATCTCCATTTAGTGGCCATAATGTGTTTTTTTTTCCTGATTGATCTATTTCAGGAAAATACCACATTATGGCCACTAGATGAAGCTGACTTAGGAAATAATGATTTTAGGCAAAATATGGGGAAAAAATTGTTATAACTGAGCCGTTGCTTGGGTCGTTTGTCCAACATTTTGTTTGTTTTTATAAACAGACCACTTAGTTTTGTAGAAAATCCAGAAATATTTTAATTCAATATAGGAAATATATAATATAGTCAAATGCATTGATACATTTGATCATCCAGTCTATACATAGGATGATATTACTCCGTATTCCCACATAAGACTGCATGTATATATGTGTTAGTGTATTCAGTACGTTACAGTAGTCACACATGCGGGATGAGCTCTCTTGGAGATAGAAAGAAAGGCAACTTGATCTTTTGAAAGTGATGGCTTTATTGTAGGTGCAGTACAGATAATACAAAGGCTTACGTGTTTCGGCCTTAGCCTTCATCATAACCACTGCTATGACTAAAGCTGTAGGCCGAAACGCGTCAGTTTCTGCATTATCTGTACTGCACCTGCAATAATGAAAGTATCACTTTTGAAGGATCGAGCTGCTGGCTTTTTATCTCCTCTGTCCATGTTGTGCTTGAAAGTGAAAAAAAAAAACAAGAAGAGCACCAACCTTGCGCATTACCTCAGTAACAGAATTTATTAATAAAAGATAGGTACTCACAAACAGCGAATAAAATCAGGCATGTAGTCCTCAAAGGGACTTCAAAGATAAGAAGCCAGCACGAATCCCATCATGGGGGTAGACACTCAGTATAGCTGATACGCATATATATATATATATATACACATGTACACAACCGATGGCACATTTTTTAAAATACATTTTGCAGCAAGCACTTTGAATGAATTGCACATGTTTTTTTATGTATATATATATATATTATTATTCATTTGTTATTATTACTTTTTCATGAACTGATCATCCATCTATATGTTGTCCTTCCCTTTTACTGGTATATTTTGTATGGTGACTAAAGATTTTATATATTTATATTTATTTATTTTACATATATATATAATAATAATAATTTTTTATTTTATTTATTTTTATATATTTTAATTGAATGTGCCATCCGTTGTGTATATATATATATGCGTATGTGTATGTGTATATATATATATATATATATATTGATATATGTTTAATTATTTATTTATTTATTTGTCTTCTGTGATCTACTAATGAGTTAATATATACTGATGACACCATAGTCCCTCCCCCTAGCCTGAGACTGCCCAACCCAATAGGGAGGGCCAATTTCTAGTCAGTTGGTATAAAGGGAGCTAACACTCTCAGTCCAGTTAGCTCTGAGGAAGAAGGCATAGCCTTCAAAACGCATCAACTATACTGAGTGTCTACCCCCATGATGGGATTCGCGCTGGCTTCTTATCTTTGAAGTCCCTTTGAGGACTACATGCCTGATTTTATTTGCTGTTTGTGAGTACCTATCTTCTATTAATAAATTCTGTTACTGAGGTAATGCGCAAGGTTGGTGCGCTTCTTGTTTTTTGTTTCACTTTGCAGTATCGATCGGGCTTCCCCAGCCCTGTTTTGGAGCTGCACAACCTTGAAATATACTGGTGGTCGCTTGCTCTGGTGTTGGTTCCATCTATTTGCCACCGGTCTGGGCCCTAGAGCGCAGGAGAAATCGCAGCTGGTCATGTTGTGCTTGAGTAAGAAGACACCACCGACCGCTTGCTGCCTCGGGGAATCTGGGCGTTGTTTTCCTTCTTACATATGTTGGGCTCATGTTGGGCTAACCCCTATGTGTGACTGCTGCAATGCATTGAATACACTAACACATACTGTATATATATGACCTTATGTGGAACTATAGAGTAATATCATCTTAATGATTGAGTGATCGAATGTCAGACATTGATTTTATTATATTGTTTTTTAATGATTGTGATATAAATAAAATCGGCTTTGTTATAATTTGTCCATAAAAGGTGTGCTAAAAAAGCCATGCTTTGGTCAGCATACTGGGGGGGATTTACTAAAACTGGAGCACTCAGAATCTGGTGCAGCCAATCAGATTTTATCTTCATTTGTTCAATTAAGCTTTAACAATACAACCTGGAAGCTGATTGGTTACCAGTAGAGCTGCACCAGATTTTGCACTCTCCAGTTTTAATAAATCTCTCCCTCTGTGTTGTAGGCTATTGTAGGGATGTTGGCGTACAATTTTTTAAAGTGGAGTTCCAATCAGTTCTGTGTTTATTAGAAGAAATAAAAATACATGCGGGCGCAGAAACAGAAAAGCAGCTATTATGAAAGGCGAACCTCTAGACCTGCAGATAATGCAATACAATATAAATGCAGCGTATCAAACAAAGGGGTTATATAAAGTCAATATATAAAGTGACTGTAGTGCATCATACACAGAGACTGCAAATAAAGTCCAGATAAATTAGTGATCCATGTTGGTGATTTCTATGACGAGGGCCAGTAAATGAATGCACTCACCAGACGCGCAAAAGGTATGCGCATGTGTATATATATCTCTGCCAATGGTCATCTGGGTCTGGGTAGGGGCTGCGGGGTCATCAAGCACACCATAGGCACACAGGGGGTAACACCACTCCCTCACAGGACTCACTCTGCTCCCAGGGACAGCTCCAAGTTATTACCGGATCAGAAGGATCAGCAGATGAGGGAAATCTCCACCTTAGAGACTCGCATGTCACAAGCCAGAGACAAATGGGTACTGATAGTGTAGTATTTTTTATTAATAGAACTTCAGTAGCATAAGGAATTCAAAGGCACTCTCATGTGGAAATGAGATAAAGTAAAATGGGCGCCTGTCCTTCCTCGCGGCTGTTTGCGGCATGATGTCACTCTGGTAGGCTCCTCCTTCACGCGTTTCGTGCACCAGCACATTATCAAACGGTGTGCTTGATGACCCCCCAGCCCCTACCCAGACCCAGATGACCATTGGCGGAGATATATATACACATGCGCATACCTTTTGCTCTTCTGGTGAGTGCATTTATTTACTAGCCCTCGTCATAGAAATCACCAACATGCATCACTAATTTATCTGGACTTTATTTGCATTCTCTGTGTATGATGCACTACAGTCACTTTATATATTGACCTTTATATATCCCCTTTGTTTGATACGTCATCTAGAGACGATTCATCACAATATCACTTCTTATGTGCTGCAATAGCGCTCACTTCCCAATATTTATTTTTATTGTCATACATCGTAGCTTAGCCCTGCATTTATATTGTATTGCAAGTTCTGTGTTTATTAACCACTTCCCATCCACCTTATAGCAGAAGTACTGCTACAGGGCGGCATGGGTGTGCAAAATCATGTACTGTATATATATGTGATTTTGCATTTCTGGCCATTCACGGCCGCGGTTGTCAATTACCGGGTCCCAGCCTAAGCCAGAAGTGGCAGCGGGTACCTGTCGAAAACAGGTATCCGCTCCCCCGCAAAAGGTGCCACATATGACAGTGGAGGGGGACAGGAGGCACATAAGCGGATCTTCCACTTTTGAAAGGAACTACACTTCTCTGCTTGTATCAAAACGCAGGAAATGACTACAATTTTTGACATTAGCGGAACATATTTATTTGAATTGTTTAGGTATAAAAAAGGGGAAAAGGGGTTGATTTACTAAGTCTCCATTTACATTTAAAGTGTTACTAAACCCACAACAGTACAATCAGTCTGTATATGCAGTAAAGCATGATTGTTATACTCACTGTGGAACCTAAGGGGTTAATCCTCTGCATTGTGTAAGAAGGCTGTTTGATCATGTCTTCTCTGCTCCTCCTCTTGTTCAAATGTCCACACCTTATTTCCTGATAAGACAAACTGAACCGTAGCCATTAGGCACATGCTCACTTTGGTGTGTATTGCTAGAGAGTTTTTTTTTCATCTTGGGGGAGTGTATGTGATCAGCACAAGGCCAGTCAGCACTGTCCAGACAGAAGTCACAGGTTCTGCATACTCCTAGAGCAAAATGAAAACTCCTACAAGCTTTAACTAGTGCTCTGCTGGACACTGATAGAAGTCACAAGACATATACATGGGTCGCTCTCAGGAGCTCAGTGACTCCAAGCGTGGTACCATGATAGGTTGTCACCTGTGCAAAAAGTCTATCCGTGATATTTCCTGGCTAGTAAATATTCCACGCTCAACTGTTAGTGGGATTATAACAAAGTGGAAGTA